AAATAATAATKTTTAGTCTCAATACATTCTACAAAAAAATGGTCAATAGTCTCTGGATGTGTCATACAAAAAGAACAAGAGGAGTATGGTACTAATTTAAATCGGCATAGGTCGTAATTGAGGTATAGACAGTTATTTAAAATCTTATATTGGAATGTTCGAAGATAGGAATCAATTGTCGTTGTGAATGTTCTTCTATAAACGTTTTTCCATTCAAACTGGGTTGTATTGATATCTTGAGATAATCGTTTGGTTATATTTTCTTGGGATGTTGGGGATTCCACTTTATTGCTTAATATCTGTTTATAGATTTGTGCTGTTTTAGTCATTAMAGAAAGTTTTTTCGACAGAATTGGATAAAATTTTGATTCGCTTTTTATAGTTTGTAATTTTTCTGAATTTATATCTCTAAAATGTTTTTTCGATTCCGCGGGTATTGCATCTATCAAACCTGCCCATTTTAAAAAATCAGTATTTTTAAGGCCAATATTTTGTGCGTGTTCCCAATTGAATTCTCCTTTATCATTACAGAGATCAGCAATTCTATTTATGTCAAGATCGGAAGAAAGCTTTATAGAACACCGATTTACCATTGATTTGAATTTTTTTATTATATTCCAGATGTACTGGTTTTCATTGCGAGTTGAATTTTCTATTAATSCAATCCAGCTTAACAAACATTCCTTATATATGCCGGGTAAGTTCTCCGGGATTCTTTTTTTGTCAAAGTTTTGATATATTTGCTTAAAACCACCTATGTGATTGAGGTATAAGGAAGGTATGCAATTTGACAAGGCGTCTGGATTCCTAAAATTCCGTAAATTTACTGTATTTTTCTTGTAAAAACTCTGTAAATATCCCGTAAATAAAATTTACATACTTTTTACAAACTTTGTACAATCCCTGTACATTTGATGTACTAAATAACATGTATGTGTCCATAATTCTGTAAATTTTATTTACGGTATATTTACATAGATTTCACATCATATTTACAGGGTTCAAAACGCGTGGTTTTTTGTTAGGTCATTTTAGATCATTTTAGRTCATTCCTCTTTTTAGTAACTACGTTGAGCAATGATAATAGAAGAGTATGAGGAAAATATATACTTGATAATACGGGAAAACTTTCAAATCAAAACCGTTTCTTGCACTCGCTGGCTCCGTGCGCGAGCGATTCGTCATATCATCGGTCTGTCCTATGATCGACAACGGCTTTCGACCRATCAGCGCGCGAGAATTCTACAAGCTATGGTAAAATATTAGTTACACCTTTTGCTGTTCATTTGCGCAAAAAATGCATTCATTTACGTCAGGAGTAAAAACATTAACGCCAACAGGCAGGCAATAGCATGATCMAAGTTTCAATAGTGCTAGGAAACATTCAATTAGACTATTTACATATGAAGTGACATTCAATACCATCCTCAAACAAACAATTGCACTTTTGAACAATCAAATATAAAGAAAGCACTTTTAATCAAGCGGAATGGAAGTTCATTAGTACCAAAATACAATCAAATGCATCGGTTGACAATCAATAGGGCATTTAAGACATTCAATAGTAAAATTTCCATATATAAGCACAATCAATAGCGCCTTTMTACAATCATTCGTTCGCTATGAACAATCAATCTTAACAAACGACAAACATTTGCATAAGAACAACAATCAATTACAGGAAAACAAATTTCAAATTCACTTTATTATTTTCTTGATATTTACAACTATCATTCTATRTGYCCCGTTATTTATGCATCTTTTGTTAGAAGATATGTTTACATAAGTCGATCGGTAAAACTTGCTATACTATATTATTTTCTTGATATTTATCACTATTCTTCTATATTTTAATCATTTAACATATTGGTTTACTTTATTTTTTTCTTAATATCTATTCTATATGTTCATTATTTATGCATCTTGGAAAGTATGTCTGCATGAACCGATACCACTGTCCACATTTAGCCACAGTGATGCTGCCGATATTTCTTTCAAGCGCTCGTAATAGCAATTGGGTGCGCATGTTTCCCATGCAGTGCAATGCCTTGTCGTCTTGCTTCGGCTCTATTGTTCATTTCTTCCTGTATCCTCGGGCGACTTATGTCCGCTTTAATTGCCGCCTTAAAGGCACGTATTGCCTGCTCCACGATATTCAAGAAAGGACTGTATGGTGGCAAYTTCTTTAGTTCGGTGTTGGGACCTGGATTCACAGGATTTCTGTGGGCTGGTGCGCCGTCGTAAATGAAAATTACGTGCTCGTCAGGGTCGAGATTTAGCCTGGTCTGTGCAAGAAAATCATTGAATCTTTGGCCATTCATTCCCCCGAGAACTGCACAGTGGAACACTAGTCCAGTTGTTGGGGAAATGGCTAGTGCCACGGTCACATTTCTCCCTCGTTGACCACACACTTGTCGGTAAGCTCTGTCTCCAGTCCTAGCTCGTCCTTGACTTCTCGCTGTCCAAATATTGTAGCCACACTCATCTACAAAAAACAGGGTGGTTCACTACTGAATGACGCATAAACCAGTGGGCGTAGTCAACTCTCTTCTGAAGTACGTCGGGCCGGTTTCGTTCGGCAGGGAGTGGTCTGGCAAGTTTTACCGATCGACTTATGCAAACATATCTTCTAACAAAAGATGCATAAATAATGGGACATATAGAATGATAGTTGTAAATATCAAGAAAATAATAAAGTGAATTTGAAATTTGCTTTCCTGTAATTGATTGTTGTTCTTATGCAAATGTTTGTCGTCTCTTAAGATTGATTGTTCATTGCGAACGAATGATTGTAGAAAGGCRCTATTGATTGTGCTTATACATGGAAATTTTACTATTGAATGTCTTAAATGCTCGCATGATTGTCAATCGATGCATTTGATTGTATTTTGATACTAATGAACTTCCATTCCGTTTGATTAAAAGTACTTTCTTTATATTATTTTGATTGTTCAAAGGTGCAATTGTTTGTTTGAGGATGGTATTGAATGTCACTTCATATGTAAATAGTCTAATTGAATGTTTCCTAGCACTATTGAAACTTGGATCATGCTATTGCCTGCCTGTTGGCGTTAATGTTTTTACTCCTGACGTAAATGAATGCATTTTTTGCGCAAATGAACAGCAAAAGGTGTATTATTACTATTTTTTGATTTCAACATATAGTATCCATTTTTCTTTCATGTCTTCATATTTTATGTCAGATATAATACCTAATACATTTAATCCTACAATGTTACAGATGGTATGTTCTGATATTTCATCATGTCTTTACTTACCATTGTTTATGGACCTACTTCTCCGTTCTCGTGTTACAGGAGACATAAACATGAATTAATATTCCAGACAATGACACTTTACGATATTCAAATTACGGAATCATGCAATATTGGATGTTTTGATTTTTAATCATCTGTCCTTACTTACCATGACTTCTGGACCAACTGTCTATTATTTTTGCAAACAAAAACATGAATTAATATTCCAGATAATTAACACTTTACGATATTCAAATTACAGCTTAAAATATTTTATGACATTTAACCCTACAATATGTTACATATGGTATGTTCTGATACAGTAAACACCTGAAAATAAGAACCTTATTGTTATTGTTATTAATTGTTTTAAAAATCAAACTTTTAGAGTGATGTTAGTTAGTACCATAAACAAAAATTATGTTCAGAACAATTTTTGCCTCGCGATACCTGTTTTATCTTCGGCTGTGTGACCTGCGTGCGAGGTGGTCACGTGGAAGTGTAAATACATGGTGTGTGAATACACACAGCCTCTTTCTACCCTATACACCGACTTGAGTGCTAAAGAAGAGAAAGCTTTGAAAATGTTTTCAGGCAAGTTGTTTTTAATTTTCTTTATACTTTCTCTATGGATGAGCCACGAGTTATGATACTAGGTCATTCCTTCATCGCGAGACTTCGCAAATTTGTATTAGAAAATGGTCCCAAGTTTAAGCTAAACTTCGGCTTATCGAAACCAGTTACCGTAATGTGGCTCGGAAACGGTGGTCGCACTGTTGCGAAGCTTTGTAAATATGATCTAGTTGAAGTAGCACGTTTTCGACCTGATATTATTTTCATCCAGATCGGTACCAACGATCTTACCCTCCGTGGCATGACTCCTTTAGGCGTTGGCTCTGTCATAGAAGATCTTCTTGTTCGTTGCCTTCACGACGAATATGGAGTCCGCCACATTTGTATAGAGCGCAGGTGCCCTTTAAAAAACTTCAATGACAATGTTAAATTACTTGCGAACTATCTCACAACTGTACTTGAGCCTCTCCCTTATGCTACTTATTGGACGCATAGAGGGTTTTGGCGTGCTCCCAGTTCATATCTATCGTACGATGGGGTACATTTATACGAAGAGGGGCAGATTGAATTTTATCAAAGTATACGGGGGGCAGTTTTGCAGTGTTTAAAGCTGGATTTTTGAGTCATTTTGTCGGGATTGTTGGCATTCCATTGTGACGACCTTCCCTAGATATTTGATATTTTAGGCCGCTGTAGTCTGTTATTTGTCATAACCATGTGCCTTTGCATATTCTTTATTGTGGGGTTGTTGGCATTTCATTGTGACGCCCATCCTATTTTGTGGTTGTCGGCATTCCATTGTGACGCCCATCTCAATTTTTGACATGCCGTCATGGTTTATGCGTATCGCGTTCCTATTGTTTGCCAAGGAGTGTTTTCTCGGCATCCAATGTGGCGCGCCAAATCACTCGGCACTTAAATCAACGCTTAAATTTTATGGTATTTTATGACTCGTTTGTAAGACCTTTATTATGTTTATGGTTTATACTGCCCTCCTGATGCTTTTGGAACCCCTCCCCCCCTTTTCATTTCAGCATTTAATTTCATGGTGCTTGTTTAGGGACAAGCTTTTATATTTATAAGACATTCTAACGAAGTTTTGCAGGAACATGCCTCCAATTAGACGAAACCAGCGTGCCGGCCCACCCCACGAAGAGGGACATCGCGAGGATGTTGACATTCGTCACTATCGTCGCCGCTGTTAGGACTGCCATCCAGGAGACCAACCAGGTTCAGGTGCCTGCAGTTCAGGCAGCTGTTCAAAATGAGGTCTCGGCTATCACCCGGCCCTCAAACCATGTCGCGGCTGTCAATACAGGTAGTACGTTAGTCCCCAAAGCGCCAGTCTTTACTAGCATTTCTGTTCCGCTGGGCAGTCGTGCCAGCGCTAGGATCAAGGCTAAAATATGGGCGGGGGAATTCGTAAACTTTGCGTCTCTTCTGGATGTTTCTCCTCAGCCAGATAAATTCTCACTTGCTATCACGTCCCCAGGTAGCACCGGCGTGACACCGAATCACACATTTGAGCTGGTACAAAATCACAAAAAAGTCTCATCAATCTCTGACTGGGTGTCTGCTTTCCACACTTTTGTGGCTATCTATTCGGAGAAACATCCAGGTGAGACGCCGCACTTAATGCAGTATTGTGAGACGGTGCGTGACATCTCGGCCCACGGAGGTGACTGGCACCATTTTGACGAACAATTCAGATTCTTAAGGCAGTCAGATCCCAATCGATATCCCTGGGGGGTGGTGCATTGGGAATTATGGCACAAGTCGRTTACTTTTCGTGCAAAGAGTGCATTCCTCGATAGATCCAACGCGCGATTCAAGGGAAGGCCATTGCGGGGTGTATGCTGGACTTTCAATGCCGGCYGCCCATGTGCGGGGTGTCGTTACGACCACAAATGCTCCAAATGTGGAGGTACACACGCCGCATCTATGTGTTTCTCCGGATCTGCCGGCTCGAAAGCTCGTGAAAAACCATCTTCCCCGGTAAAAGTATCCGTCCTTAATAGTCTTTTAACCTCTTATGACCCTGTTCTTAGACAATATTTGGTTGATGGTTTTTCTTTTGGATTTCGTGTTGGGTTTATCGGGGAGGGTAGTTTTAGTGCACTGTATGTCTTGCCCTTTCTTTTCTTTTTTTCCCCTTGTAAATAACACTGGAAACCTACTTGGTTCTATCTTACAAATACTACGAAAGCTGCTTTAATCAACATCCCGACGAACTCCATTCATTCACTTATTTATCATCTCTATTGTTGTTGTTGTGGGTTTTTTTTGGAGCGATGTTCTTTCAACTGAGCACTAAAATAAACTGTTAACACTGTTTCCTTAATGGTTGACATTCCGGCATATAACTAGTGTCTCAACAGTACCCGCGAGTGACTCCTTCCAGTACCAATTCAATTTTGACAATCCTTAAAAATCAATCAGGCCCGATACAACCCCGCTTTAACAAGGTCAGAGAGTAAAAAAAACTATAAATGCAATTCCTTGTTTATTTTATGCCTTTTTCATGTTCGTTTACATCCATTATCCTCGTTTTTATTTATTTTCGGCCGACTTGGTCTTCTCGTCCGCCATCCGCTTATAGCACTGGGCCTTAAAATGGCCTTCTCTATGGCAGTAGTAGCAGGTTGCTTATTCCTGCCCTTACCTTGATMTTTTGGTTCATTGCCCCCCTCTCTGGCTTTCTTTCTCGGAAACTTTTTTCAACCTTCGCCACCGTCTCAAACACCCGCTCATGATCCTTATCCCTTATCAGACGTAAGATTTGGCTTCRAAAATGTTCACTCGGCAACCCAACCTTCGTCATTACTGTATTATATACCAAGCGATAGTAATCCTCCTTTTGGTGCTTTCTATCATGTGCTACGTTAGTAGTAGGCACTGCATGATTCGACCCCCGTCCAGTAGGCGGAAGGTGGTAGGTGGTAGGTGGGTATGCAAATGAGCAAAAAGTGATAGGGGAGGGGTGGTCAAAACGAGTAGGTGGTATAAATTATTTTAGTAGGTGGGTATGCTAATGAAGTCCAAAGTGATAGGGGAGGGGTGGTCAAAACAAGTWGGAGGTAATTCATTAACATAAAATTGTGGGCGACTTTTGTGTTGGTAAATTGTGGGCGATCTAATTATGCTGTGTTGGTAAATCGAGGAGGGTAATCATCATAAATTATGRAAATCATATACCATGAAATTACTATTGTTCCTGAACAAAGAGCTGCCTGGACCTGCCTGAATGAGACACAACATAAATTATTCAAAGTCATGTGGTTTCTTGAGCGTGAAAGCGCTTGCCTCATCATTTATGGGTTGCTTTCTCATGTCAACATCGACTTATTTGACGGCAATCTAAATATTCAATGTTGGTAAAATTTTATGTCAAGGTTCAGCGATCGCATAAATTACTATCCAGTGAAGAAAAGGTTAATGATTTCCTTTGTTCTGAGACAATAGGTCACCTGCTAAAGGAGTTTTCAATAACCAAGAATTATGATTTTCAACATTTTTATATTTCTAACTAATCATAATAACTACATCTCACTTTTACTACTGTGGCATTTATTACTTGGAAAACTTCAGAGAGGCCCGGAAAGGACCAGAAAGGCCCGAAGATGTCTGAAAGTTCCCGAAAGGACCGGAAAGGCCCGGAAAGGACCGAGGCTCTCCGGATGGCCCGGAAAGGGTCCGAAGCGCCCCGGARAGACTCCGGAAATCTTTCGGAATGACCCCGGAAAAGAGATGTTGAATTAAAAAAGACATTTGTGATGCATCAGACCATTTTTAATTGAATCTTTTATTGTTATCAATATCAATATCTAAACTTATTTCATTTGATAAATGATATAGTTAAGAGATCATCTCGCCCGCAAGAGCCTCTTGGACGATTATTTTAACAATTGGATCATCTTCATGGAGGTTTACCCATTTAAAACTCCCATTGCACAGGTTTCTTATTTTAACGGGCCAGTAAAGTTCACCTCCTAAGCTAACACCCGGCTGATTTGGGTGATGTGGATTGCGGGAGGTTTTATACATCTCCACTATGGTATAACCTTCTGGTATCGACTTGACATATTTGACGTCATTCGTGTAATTTTGCCATACAGGTATGATAGCATCGGACCAGAAAACTGAAGAGGTCCGTGACTGACTAACATCAGCTGAWGATTTGGSTCTTTCACTCTCTTCATTRGCCTTGTTGATAGACGAGAATACATGACATTGCCCGAAAATGTCTCCAATAACCTGTTTGTCTACAGGTGTATCTGGCTTATTATCCACGAGCAAATAACCGAAAGGTTTTTGCGTTTCCCTGTAAAAGGCTTCCATGAATCGATTTCTTTGTTTATCAAACATTCTTTCTGCAACGATCCCAATTTGTTTTCTATCACTTGGACTTCGAAAGAGAGCGATATATTGAGCATTGCGACTTATATCAGTGTTGTACTTTCCTTTAGGGAACATGTTTTGCAAAAGAAGAATCACGCTGGCGTTTCTATGWCGACCCTGTGTAAACAATCGTGAGACGATGGGGCTATCAATAGCTTCAGCCATTAAATCATCAAGGATGATAAGGTTATTGAAGCTTGAATCAATTTCTCTTAAATCTTCGGAAAAGTTAGGCAAGCCTTGTTGAAATGAAATTTCCTTGTTGAACATCCCCTCCATGATCTGATAGCCACCTTGCCACTGGGTGTAATACCACAATATGCGACGCTTTTTGCTTGTTCCGTAGAGAATCCAATCTTTCTCTAATATTTGTTGAACAAAATGCGTTTTTCCGCTTTGAGTTGGTCCAACAACTAAAAGTGAAAACTTGTGTCGAAATTTGAAATCCAGATATGGCTCAGTAACCAGGCAAATATCTTCTTTTTTTCTCTTGCTGGAGATTGGTTTGGGGCTTTTCAAAGCTCGTTTCTTTCCATTTTGAATGTTCGTTGAAATGGATGGGMGACTTGAATTAACGTTTGATGATGCACTTCTCAAAGRATTATGGGTATAGTYTTTTTGTTGTGAAAACAGAGCCATTGAAAGCCAACGTTTTCTTTCGCTTCCGTACAGGTTATGTACTTGCCGCAAATGATCGCTAAGGAACTGTAGATCAGGCTTGTGGCAAACAGGACAGCTTCTTCTGTATTTGTAAGGCATGTTAACCGTTTGAGGACCAAGTATCAAATGATGGTTCTTGTTGATTTCACCTGCCTTTTACTAAATACCTAAATAGTTTATCATGTTTTCTGTATGTCATGTCGATGTCATGTCGATGTCAGGTCGATGTAGGGTCGTTGTCAGGTCGATGTCAGGTCGATGATGCGTCGATGATGGGTCGATGTCAGGTCGATGTCAGGTCGATGTTAGGTCGGTGTTAGGTCGATGTCATGTGTGTGATGTGAAAGTTATTCAGTTAATTTCTTGAGTCTGTGAAATGGTCAGCAGTTTAGAACTTAAAAAGCAGGCGCCCAGATCTTAAAACTATAAAAGAGAGGGGTTTGTGTCAAGTTTATCATTTGAGAGCTGAACTTCAAAGAGATAGGAGCACCATGTCTCAGTCTAACCACAGCGAGGAGGAAGATTTGAGTTCTGACAGTATCCATACCGATACCTCAGAAGAAAGCAGCGAAGAGAGTAGTGATTCAAGTGATGTTGATTCAAGTGAAGAGCAGGAGGATATCGATGTCTGGGCAAGAATTCAACACCAAGCTATGGATAGATATCAACAAGAATATGAAGTACTGGTTCAGAAATACAAACAAAATGGCGATACCGATACCGCAGCAGAAATCAGAGCAAATAATGCTTTGCTTCCATCATATAGAAAAGCGCTGAGGGAGGTYYTGTTTGAMGAGCTAAAGTGGATGCATCTATTCAAAAGAGATCCAATTTATAAAAAGATAATATAAAAACAGAAAAACCTTATGGATATGGAGAGCTATGACTGGGAAGAAGCAACCCAATCAGCCATTCATCAAAGAAAGTTTTTGTTGAACAAATTGTTCACAAAAGAAGAAGTCCCAAAACAACGCGTAAACGACCGATTCCATCCCTATAGTCGCAATTTTAGTGGTTTTGATTGAAGGCTTGCATTGCCGGATAACATGATAACAATAGAAAGAGAGATTTGACCAGTTATCAATGCAAGGAGCAATAGAGGCGAAGAAATATCTCGAGGAGCTTTTGAATTATCCTGACAAAGGCCTTTTGGAACATGAAATAATCATCAGTCAGTGTCAATAATAAACTGCTCCAAAACGAAAAACTGTGTGCTTATTGCACAAACCAGAGAATGACCACTTGCCAGGGTCAGGAAATATGCTACTCCGATCCAAAGACTATTCCTTCTAGAATGCAAATTATAATGGATCGTTTTGATTATAAAACCATTTATTGCTGCCAGGTTTTAGAGGCACTTGCCGAATTTGTCCTAGCTTTCCTTGGCGTCTATCCATTTTCAAACGCCAATGGAAGAACTATTAAGTTTCTAATATGGAACGTTTCGAAAAGCTTTTGCGAAGATAAAACCTAGATGGTGTAACATAGTGCATAACAAGTCACAAGATTCTCTATTAAATTGGTTTCAAACTATGATATATTGATAATACTCGCAAATACGATGATGTATCAATGGAAATAAAAATAGGTCAACAATGATCCATTCATGTTTTCAAAAAAATATTTTATATGTAATAAGTAAACCTTTAAGTTTATGGAATTATCATTTGAATAAAATGTTTTAAAGCAATGGTTTGCGTCAGAAAATGGTTTATAATCCCATTCAAATCTGTTTTCCGGGGTCATTCCGAAAGATTTCCGGAGTCTTTCCGGGGCGCTTCGGACCCTTTCCGGGCCATCCGGAGAGCCTCGGCCCTTTCCGGTCCTTTCCGGAACTTTCGGACATCTTCGGGCCTTTCTGGTCCTTTCCGGGCCTCTCTGAAGTTTTCCAAGTAATAAATGCCACAGTAGTAAAAGTGAGATGTAGTTATGATTAGTTCGAAATATAAAAATGTTGAAAATCATAATTCTTGGTTATTGAAAACTCCTTTAGCAGGTGGCCTATTGTCTCAGAACAAAGGAAATCATTAACCTTTTCTTCACTGGATAGTAATTTATGCGATCGCTGAACCTTGACATAAAATTTTACCAACATTGAATATTTA